TCCATCTTCCATGGAAAAGAAAGAGAGATCAAACAGGGCCAAATAGAGTGACCATTATAGTAACATTTTCAGCATGCATGTCATTCTATACTAATGTGTAAAATGCATTTACACCTTTTGGGCTAAGCCAGTCCTTATTGAGCTTTTTGCCTTGATGTCATGCTACCAAAAAGACCTTTGCCATTTAGTTTGTGTGAACATGACCTTTTTCTTGCATTAGGATTGATCATTTGATGTTGGTCTAATCGGCTTCACCTTCAAATCTTCAAGAGTTCACTTACCTAACTTTCTAAGCTAGATCGATCTTCTATTACTCGACCCTGTACCTACATATCTTTCACATGCTTGATGGATTCTACAGAAAGATGTTCAATATCTAATGGAGCTCGACTCATCTACATTCACAATCACAACTAGTACTCGCTAATTCATTACTCATTTATGTCAATTTATAATTTCAACAACTTATAATTCCTCTCAAATAAGCATTAATGACTTGATTTGTCACTTTTTATATTTTGAGTCTAAAATTTCAAGAAAATTTGTTGCAAAGTAGGGCCACGCAGAGACGAAAGTTTGTTGCTTTCTTAGATTGATATTACCTACTCAATTATATAATACAAATAGATAAGAAATTGCTAGAAATAGATACGATGACCCAAAGCCAACTGCTTCTTGGAAAACCATGCCAAGCTGTCGGAAGCATGAAAACATGGGCTAAACACAAAGAAGACAAAAAATTTAAACAGTTTTGAATAATTTGAATTTTTTTACATGTACTCTTCTTTCTCCAAGCCGATTTAATACGTGCACCATTTTTCGGATCTTGAGCGCCTAGTTGTAATGTCTTTGACATTACGAAGTAAGTTACTAGAGATCTAAAGATACAGGATCTGAGTTTCAAACTATTTGAATTGTTGGCAAGATAGACATGAAGTATGATAAACGAGATCCATGTAGAGAATTGACAAGGTAAAGAAATAAGTGGATAGAAAAATGTCATTGTATAAATTTTCTAGACACAAATCAACCTATCAAATCACATAAGGAAAATGATAATATGTACCCGGGGTTTACACCCGGGGTTACCCGATCCCCCCCGCCCGGCCCCTCACAATGAGGTGGGGCCCGAGGCAAATTAAATAATCGATGGGCCCCCATTGTGGGGTGGGGGGGAGGGAGTGGGTCGGATATGAACCCCGGGTACTTGTAGCAAAATCCTTCACATAAATGTACTTTGCAATTAAAATATTAAAATAGAACATTAAAGTTTGAAAGTTTAATCGAATAGCTCCTTTCACCAGTTTACTTTTTCCCAGTTTCTTAGTTGGCTAAGTTTGAAAGTTTGATACAATAATTTATAATGCTGCAATCTCTTTGGTTGTTGCCAGTAGGGTTACAGGAGTGGTATCAAGGAGCCTTTTGAAGTTGCTCTTAGGATTCTCTTTCTTTTCCTAGAAGTATTAAATACAAATTAGCAATGATTGGGAAAATAATAATAAAAATAATAAAACTACTCTTTTAAGTGAATTGACTATTACGAATACACTTCCTTACACGAGTAATTTATACATCATTAGTGAGGAGTGTTAAACGGGCCGAGTCGAACCGCTCAATTTGTCCACCATCGAATTCGGCTCAGCTCACCACTCGAAGCAACTCGAACTTGCATGTGAGGATAGCCAACGTGAGCGGACTCACCCACCAAAAATGTGCTCAGTTCGCTCAATTAACTTGCTCCTTGGTGAAGTGAGCCGTTCGCTGCTTGTAATTTTTATTTTCAAATTTGTATTGAAAAGTGTACTCCACTCTTAACTCCAATTTATCAGAATTCATTTTTTCTCAAAACTTATTTTTAATCACATATTCTCTCATAAAATAATTTTATACAAAAATTCAAATTTTTCCATACTAACCACATATTTTCTAGAAATTACTAATTGTTCTTAAATATAGAGGATTGCTTTTTCATAGGCTATTATAAGTTCAAGATAAGCCGCAATTGTGAAATTAGTAGACACGCTACTCTTAGTTTAATTTTATGTCCATTTTATTTCTTAAATCAAGAATATAAGTTAAGTATCCAAGTACTTTAAACTTTTTATTTAGTCCCATTTTGTTGATTTGTTGTTGCTTTTTAAAGGACTAAATTGTTCAACTCAAAGAAATATAAAGGAAAACTTTTATTAGGTTATTGAAATTTTATTTTCTTTAGGCCCTTTAGATCTTGAGGCCCAAGGCAATGCCTAATTTGCCTTAGGCCAAGGCTGGGCCTACATTGACGCATACAAATACGTTATTCTATTCGAATTGTAAGTTGCATGGGTCACGTGATGCATCTCGATTTGACATATGATATCTCATGATAGACCTCGTATCTGTAAGTATCAATAAAGCCAGAGTGATATGAATAAGTCCTCAATTGTACTGAATAATATTGTATATTGATATTGTGGCGTATTTTACTATTGAAGTAAATTGAAGAGGTCAGTTATACTAATGACTCGTCCCATATAGGTGCTCCATGCATATGAGTTTCATATATCTCAAACGTAGAAAAAGTTAAATCTATATAGTTTAAACGGAGGTACAAATTATATAATTCTGTAACTCTTTCTCGTAGTGAGAATATATTTATTTAAAGGTAAAATATTTCAAAAAAATAAAGTTTAAGGAAAAAGTCGTGAGTATAGGGAATTCCTGACAAAATTTTTACCGACGTTGACGTGACATCATATGATTGAATTGTTTCTTTTTTTACTCTTTCCACCTTTCAATCAATTTTCGCTATATATTCTCTGTCAAAATATTTTGTACTTGTAGCATGATTAAAACGGTAAAGTAACGTTTCAACTAAAACCCAACAAAATTTTGTTTGGCTGGATTTTCTAATCATTGTCCTAGTTTTATAATGCCCTTTTCATACGGCTATTTAAAAATTATTTCCTGCAAATATTTTAGGTTTTTACTCATCATTTTCTATTTTTGATTGCTGACTTCAAGCACAAACTGTTTTGGCTGTTCATGCATTAACTTTTGGAATATATTGCATCATTAGTCCCCAATTTATTATCCAAGTAGCAAGTTAATTTTAATCTTTATAAATAAATAAGTTTGTGTAAAATATTTCATTATAGTTGTAATCAATTCTTAATGAGTGAGAACCATTCAAATCTTCTATTAAATCACGACACTACCCTCATTAAAGCTTCCCTTACTTCAATATTTGGAAGCATCAACCCTAGTTAAAAAATAAAATTTAATTTCATAAAATTGGATAAATAAGGTATCGCGTCAAATAAATGGAGAGACGTTTTTGGTCTTGAAACATATTTTTC